ATTGATGTATCTGAGTTTTATTCAGTAAAAGAGTAGGCTGATATAGATGTAGGAGCAAACGAGTGGTGGAAGTCTGGGGTAAAATCGATTCGTGCGGCTATGGGGGAACGATTGGTCAACAGACCTCAAAGCTCGATTTAGACCTCTAGCATCGGAGATGTGTACGTAGAAGGTAAAAATGATCCCGAGCAGCCTTTTTGCCATGCATTTGTCTTCATATTAGGTTAAGCATAGATTGTCCGCGGTTTCAGGCTGATGGCTCCTTGTTTTTTTTCTGATCATTTTCAAAGCCTGTGATGTATTCTGAAGGCGCACAATCTGTTGTACGTTTTTGATTTCAACACTCGTGTTACTTGACCTATTTCTGGAGCTTAACGCGACCAAAAAAAGGTTGCCACCCTGCAATGAGTGCAAGGTGAGCTGAATGCTTCTGCATCTGTTCGTAGAATCAGTTAAGCCTGGGTGACGGCACGGTTGCAGAGAAGGCTGTTCGAGAGCGATTGTTGACTACGTATTTATTGTTGCTTTTGTTTGGTGTGTTTAAGAAACTTGTGAGTGAAATGAAAACGGGGAATTTTTACTGCTCGGGTCACTTATTAGTTCTTTTGGTGACTTTGTAGCGCTCCATAACTGTAGAAGAGTGGTCAGTTGCCACCGATTAGTTACGCTTTGTCATGCTGCACCCTTTCTGCTCGGTTGTAAGGCATTGTGGTCTTCAAGAAAGTTAGAGTGCAGTAGCTTTTACATTTCACTCTCGATCCAGGAGCATGCTGAGGTGGCTCAGTTACCGAAGCAACAAACAAAAGGTCAGCAGTGATTGATGGGCAAAATGCGACGTAAAGGGAGATTGTGGTTTGGTAGTAGTACTGCTCAATTGGTAGTTGTAAAGGTGCGTTCGAATCTTGCCAAGCAGTGTAACATTCCTGGAGAGTCTGATCAAGGCTGTTCTGCGGGCAAACTGCTCGGCACTGACCAGTTCTTCAGCATGGATGATTTTTATGCAGAATCGTAGGGCATGGTGATGAATGTTGGGCCCAAAGTATGGTTCTCGGGGATCTGGCGATGTCCTTCTAGCGTTCCGGCCTGCTGAAAGCTTGTCCTCTCTTTAGGAACACCGAAGGCTTGGTTGATCATGGTAGAATCGTGACGATCAGTGACCATCAAATTCAGCTAGTCTTCCTCAAAATGGCAGTCTGTACGTGGAAACGAAGTGAGAAACTCGATTCTGGAATCCAATCCAAGCTAGGCTATCGAATATTCCATCCTGTTGGGTCGGAAAGCGATTATTTCGCACTAGATGTTCGCTTTAAAGCAACAGTTCAGGGAGGGTCCGAAAATTTCAATGCCACTACTACTGAGGGATACACGAGCCCTAGTGAAGAACATATGCAGTGGAAATAATAAACGAACTTACCTCAGAAACTCAAAAACAGGGTGGAAAGTCCCTCAAACATGGGTGTTCTTGGGGATTTCCCCAATCCCGCCCCCTTGCCGGCCGTCATTGGACGCGTCGGCAATCGTGCTCGTTTTGGGACCACAGGGAAAATTGATTGAAAAATGGAGCGCGTTTACAGCGGGCACGTTCAGAGACAACTCGTCCAACGTGCGTCTTTATCCATTGCTGAGCGGCAGAGGGAGAGTACCTGTCTAAGACCCCTCCCCGACGTTTTTTTTTCCAGTTTTTCATACATTAATCGTCTGGTTTTCATCTACAACTTCATTATTGGTGGTTTTTTCCCGCGAAACCGTTCCTGAACTGTTGCTTTAAGGCGGTAGAACACTGCACCTTGTTGGTTGCCAAAATTCATTGATTGGCAGGAAAACAAACTCGCTCATTTCCAAAAAGAATTTGTATTTGTGGCACGATCTCTAAATGAGGCCATTATAAGCAGCTGTCATTCTTTTGTTTTGTTTTCTGCTATATAAATGGGTAAATTTGCACATGCCATTATACTAGGGTGAGACTCCTCCCCGTGTCACTCAATGCCAGCCGCTCTGCAGTTCTGCCACATACGGTTAATCGGACGAAAGATTCAGTTCTGGGGGACGCATTTTGATGCAGTTCGTCTTTGAAGGGCGTAGTTGCATAATCTGCCCTGACACGCCCTCCAAAGAGGCGACAAGGCAAGGCCAAAGTCGACTTTTTTGACCCCTATGTCTCGACCCCTCCCATATGGGTATTATACGACATGAAGCGGGTAAGTCACTAGTGAGAGTAATTATTAATGGTATTTCTTTTTCGAAGTGACCCAGTGATGACAACAAACGGAGAGTTCTGGTAATAGTTTCATGAGAGTACCGTTTGTTAAAACTGCTACTCACAAGTCTTTTGGCGCGTTCATTGCTGGGCTTCTGGTGGCATCACCTTGTCTGAAGCCCAAGAACTTCACAGGACCGGCAGATGACTAACGCGGTACCGCAAGCTCTCAAACCAACCAGTGTTTCGTTTAATGATTGTAATAATTTCTGCAGCTATTCCTTATTTCTTCAGCTGTTGTTGAAGAGCAGGTCGATTGTGTTTTCAGAGCCAAGATGTCGAGGATTTGTCGACGATGGACATGCTGGGAGCGGTCCACGACACCAAAATGGAAGGCGACACGAACAGCGTGCTTACGATTGTCCTCGCGCAGAGAGATCGCCTGAAGCTGCGAGTGGGCGTTCTCGAAGAGGTCTCTTGTAATCTCCTGAAGTGGTAGCCAACTGGGAGTGATAGTTCATAATGTAGACCTTTAAGGAGCTGATGGCTGAAAAGACCAAGCAGGCCGTGCTCGTGACGGAGATTGAGAAAGTGCGCGACGACAACGTGAAGCTGTACGGGAATCAAGTTCCTTCAAGGCTACGGTGAGCTGTTGGAATGCGCTGGGTTCTTCCTTTTATTGTGATGCTGCCTGCAGGCTGTGCCTGCCCATTTGGCTGTTTTTGTAAGGAGCACGGGGTGGTATGAAATTGTTAGCGGTAGTAGTAATGGTTGTAGTGATGGGAATGACATGATTTAGGATTTAGAATTTGCCTATATTCGTGTCTAGTTCTGCTGTGAGCTCCCCTAGATCGGTCTTATTCGTGCAGCCAAGAGTTGGCACAAATCCGATTGCCTAGCAGACTCATAACAATTTTTGAAAAGCGGTCTTCTTGAGCCCTTGCAATCACTCGTGAAATCGCCGTGGTTAGCAACAGCTGAAGCCCACGCGCTGAAATATTTCAGGTAACAAGTCTTCCGAGACGAGTGTCGCGCTACCAGAAGAGAGCAACTACAGTGCGCAGTACGAACGCCGTTTGGACCCGTTCCAACGTTTCGGACAGGCCGAAACACAGCGAGGATACGCCCGCCTACCGATACATGACCGGGCGTCGTTGAGTATTGTGAGTGAATTTTTTATCGAGAATATTTTGCACAGGAAATATGGGAAGGAGGAGTAATTATGAGGGATTGGGCAGAAATGGGATGATCGACAGTGGCGAACCACTCTGACTATTCAAAGAAATTATTTAGATTTTGACAACGTCCCGAAAAGGTAAAGGAAGTGCCTCGGGAAGTTCAAGAGCTCAAAGCTCAACGGGTCTTTTCTCGGAGCGCCGTGGTACCCTTTTCTTGTGCACTGTGGTGTGGAGCAGAACTTTGCTCAGGAATGTCGGGGATGTTTGAGCCGTTACGGTCTTCCTGGTGCTTTAATGGGTTTATTCGTGCTTTTTCAGGGAAGGGCGGTCATGACGTCAGCATCGGCACGAATGACGTTCTTCTTCTACCTGGTTGTGCTGCATCTACTCGTCTTCTTGGTAAGTTCCTCAGCTCTGCTCTTCTCTGGATATTGATCCATAATTCCAATATCATTTTCAAATTTTACCCGTGGCCATGCCACTTGGTTAACTATTGAATTCAAGCGGGAGAAAATTCATCACTTGCCTCTTTCTCCTCCAACCCATACAAGTTGTGAGGAGTGCACAGGGTGGAGTGCAATCGGTTTGATGATGGTGATTAACCCATTGTTAAATATTATTTTATCGTACTCCCTTTTCCCAGCTTTTTTCCCCTCCCCTAACCATCGTTTTCAGGTGCTGTACCGATTTGCCTACACTGAGTCGTGTGAACGCGACTTCCAACAAGACTGCGTAGCACAGTTCGAGCGCCACATGAGAGAACACCATCCGGGAAGTCCCCAAGGTTGACCTCGATGACTTCATCCAGCAGTCATTGGCCAAACCGTCGTCTCTTTTCTTGTTAGTTAGCATTTTACTGGCTTACTACGCTCATCGAAGCATATTGCGGTTTGTTCTCCTAGAAAGTTCCTTCAAAAATGTACTGTATTGTAAAAAGGTCAAAGGTCTACTTGTTGCAAAAAGAATAGCGTTGGTTTCCTTCTGTGATATTATTTACATGTATTCCATTCCCGTTTGTAAATGGTTTTTTTTTGCTTTTGCTATTTCTTTCTTGTTTGAGAACATCTTTTAAATGCAGAACTTCGCGAAGTCTCCAGAACAGTGATATCTCATAAATAAATAAATATCTGTGTTGTGTATTATCCTTGGCCCAATTGTTCACGTTGCCAGCGGTTTTCAATTATCGGTCCCTTAATCATTCGCGGATTTTGGTGATTTGTCTTCAACGGTTCCGCAAAAACTTGCTAAATTTCTGTGGACTATAGTGGGGACGAATGTTTCTGAGCTCGTTCAATATTCCGACGGAGGACCATGCAACCAGACTTGCGAAGGGAGGCCGAACATTGCAAGTGAGAGTACGGCAAGTGGCCGACCTTCTGCTTGAGAACAGAACCTGTGAGGTCAGTTTCTTTCAACTCTTATCGAATCTTCCACTATGAAGCATCGCAGACATTCGAAGCTTTTTTCGTAGCGTTGTCAGCTTCTCTCCCAGTGTCTTCTGGGAATTGAGGATAGTGGGCGCGACAAGTTCGTTGTCTCTATTCAGGAGAAAGAACTAATGTGAAGGGAACAAGTGTGATGCTCGAGGTGTTACACTGTGGAAGGTTTTGTCATAGTTACCTCACGCGTTTTACGCTGCGCTTTCGTGTTTTAGCCCGCTACTTGAAGGCGGCGTTTACGATTGGAAGGCACCCCGTTGGATTCAAGGTATAGGTGGTCAGTAGTGCTAATATGAAGAAGAAACAATGAGAAACAGCCCCAGAATCCGAGAAATGAGACCTCTTCTTTGCCCGTTGATTTCCGCATTGATGCGACTCTCATCGGTGCTGCCCTCTTCAACGCTAACGCTCGTTCTCTCTGCTAACGCTAGAGACCTGCAGCGACTGGTTGGCAGTCGGTGGGCGTGCCGTGCCGATAGCGCCGTGGATAGGGCCAGGCTGGGTGCGTGACTATTCAATCGTGGCGATAGCTAGGTCGCCGCGCCAGCCGCCGCAGCCCGCGATGCGACGTCGGCCGTGGCTAGAATTCAGGGTTCTAGCATTGGGGAATGTAGGATTAGATGAAGTTTCCCAGTCGTGAAACACGGTATATGATCACCTGCCCCCTTAAAATACAGGATCCTTGTCCTTTGCCATTATTACAAACTTATTCTGTCATACTGATGTTAATGCCTTCCTCACCGTTCCACTGCGTCTTGGAACGTAATATTTTTCCGATTTAGCCAGATTATCGCTCTCTGATAACAATTCAGGCAGTTGATTAATAAAGAAGTCTCATTATGTTCAAAAGGACAACCTTTACATGGCACAAGCTCTGTACAGTGAGGCTTAAATAACTGCGGAGATCTCTTGTTGGCTCACTGATGTCTGGAACTTTGGTCTTATCAGTTCTCTAACCCCACCAGCAACTTATGGACAAGGACCGTTAAGCCAAGGCCCATACAAAAATCGCCGCACCATTTGCCGCGCGCGACGCTGCCCGCCGCGTGAGCGGCGTGACCTCATTAGCCGACGATTGAATTGACCGTCTTTCGGCCAGGCTAGATCGCCGAGGGCATATCCTGCGCTGCGAATTGCGTGTCGGTTCACACCATCAGGGAGTCCGTCTCTCTAAGCATTGGGTAAGCTTCCCCTTCTAACCTACCGTGGAATCTTCCTTAAGGCCTTCGAAAGAGTGTCTCTTTACGAGCGGCTCCACCTACTATTAAGCGTATTTTCTTAAGATGATGCCCGATTAGCGTTACTCGTCCGAACTCTCTATCGTAGCCGAAATGTCGTCCACCACACATCAGCTACCGCTAGTATGAGGCTCCATTTCGATCTGGCCGTTTCCGGTTCTTCTTCACTACTTCATCCCATTCTTCTCCATATCAACCATGTAGCGCCTCTATTTTAGTTTCGATACTCACCCAGGTCCTCCATATACAATAAGCGAGACTAAATGAATAGATCTCGGCAAATTGGTTTCAAAACTCTGGTAGAGTGCACAGTGCTCATGTTCTTATTATAAGCCTGGGCAGAGGTTAGTGATAGTCGTCTACCCTCCATATACCAGGAATTGTGGGAGCATCTTGGAGATGAGTGCTAAGACTTCATTGGAATCATAGCGGTCAGTGCGTTGGCCGGTGCGCGCGCCGTCGCAGAGCGTTCTGCAAGAACAGGACGAAACTATAAACGTGTTATTCGCAGTTGTAAATAAAGCGATGAGGGAAAGCTTCGACAAATTCTCCTAGCCTTATGCACACAAAAATGCTCACCCAAGATCATCACAAGAAACAAAATGAGATACCAGTAACAATCGATCGATAGGTGCGGAAGTGCGATGATAACGGCTGGCACGAAACACTGGGACTCCTGCGAGGAAAGCTACAGAAGGAAGGTAACGTACAACATTGTGGGAAGAGCAGAATTCTTGAGTTTTCCCTAGGGGGAATCCTTTGGGAAGAAGTGAACCATTGAAAGTGTCCCGTAGGGGAGTCGCTTTGACTGAGCAGTCAGGGCTTCTCCTGGTGGTCAGGAGTGGCTTGGAGTGAGCTTCACTTTCGAGTAGATGAGCGATGCTATGGTGAGCAGCGTGGAAACGCAGACCGTCACCGAGACCGCTGAGCCCAGTGCCATCGTGTCCTTCGCCAAACAGACCGTGGAGGGTTCAGTCGACGCCACTGAAATGAGCTTTATGCGAAGTGCTGTGAATGAACACAGTAACAGTGGAGACCAAATCACTATGGGTATATCCTACCCTGGGCAGCGTAGTTGTAGACCACGGGATCGTCGTCGACGGTCAGTCGCCCCGTTACGATTATGATATTTTCGTCAGCGGTGTCCTCTCTTGCAGCGGCGCTCCGCCGAAGTCGACGGGAATTCGCGCTGCACTTCTGAAATTCGGGCAAAATATTATAGATTCCCTATGCTTTGGGAATGAAACGCTTACTAAGGTGTTGTCACAGAGGTGTTCCTCAGATTTCCCAGTGAGAAGCAGATGGTTCGACCTGGAAACTTTCAAGAGTAGCTCGCGGGGCCTGTCATTCATGAAGAAAGTGCTGAGTTACCTTCTTATGCAGAAGCGCACCACACATCTGAACCAAACATCCGACAGGTCAGGGAATTTGAACGCTATCGCGTCAGCAAATGCACGACGATGGTCCTCGGAGTACCTGGCGAAGGAATTGTTGAATATCTTCAATACAATCGAAACCTGAGAGAAAGTGCCAAGCGAAGCGTCATGCGACGCGTGTCGTGTACAAGTTGTCCAGGCAAACAAGGTTTGTTCATGTTGGTGGGGTAGTTGAAAATACCGCTCAGAAGGTCTTCCACTCACCGAATGTCCGAAATCAGCGTGCTGTCGACGGTGCAGCCATCCCTGATGATGCTCATTCCGCGTCCATCGTGCGTTTCGGCAGTACAGTCGAGCATTCGTAGACCGTAGAGCTCTGGAAAGGTGTATTCCTTGAATGCTACCTCTTGCTTTCGGACAAGGCTCTATTAGAGTACCAAATTCAGATCACTGGAGAGCAGCTCCCTTTTATCATGGAAGTTTGAGCAATACATCTGTACTTTTCTGTGACGAGGCTGACTAGGAAGGTCATTGTCCTGACAAGGCCCCGTACGGCGTCTGTCAGTTGGCTGGTCGTTTCAAGGCTGGACCATACACACCGACGATTGGCAATTGTTCGCTCGTCAAGTGGCCAATAAGCCAAGAATTCGCCTAGAATGACCTTTAATGGCGCTACAAAGTGCTCCTCAGTTGGAGGAGGAAATGGGGAAGTGCACGTCCATCTTCGACTTCCTCCCTTGGTTTCCCAATAGCAAACTAACGCTATATCCTCTTTCTGTGAAATCTCGTTCCTATCAGAGACGGACAAAAAGACTCACTTGCAACTCTACAAGATAGCACAAGAGCACAGCAAGTTTAGGCGAATCCTGTTCCTGCCAAGAAAGCTTAAAGGATGTCCTCTAATTGTAAAGCCTAGTGCGTGGGGGTCTATGTTTGAACAGGAACCACAACTACTTGTGTGGAGCGATTCCGGTCCCTTCCAAACTGGCTGAGGTAGCTGCCGGCGTGCAGTTCCAAAAAGTACACACGCCGTATTTTGGTCACATTTTCCTCCCCACGGCGAAACGGGCCACTTTAGTGGTGCCTCCTTGCCTCGCCCTCCAAAAGCCACTCGACCCATGTTCGTACTTCCGCACTTCGCACTCCCCTTTGTAAGAAACCTCCGCGATCACTGCACAATTTTCACTACCGACTTTTGGTTTCTGCAATATACGAGCAGTCAGAGTTAGAGGAGTTTTCAGAGGGACTTCAGCCTGCAAGCGGTGGAGCTAAGTTTTCTCTGAAAACTTCAGCTCCTCGTTGAAAAGTGGAAGTCAACCGAACTTGCTATTCCAACCCCACACAAAGTTGGTCGGATGGCAAGGCGTATATAAACGATCAAGAAGCCTCAGAAACATCCTCTATGTGCTTTACTTCGGAAAGAGAACAACCCGTTCCTCGACAAGGCCCTCTCTGAAGCTGCTGACACCTTCACTCAAATTCTTACACTCTTTAAAAATTCACGCCCCATACACGTCCAATCTGACTTTCGGTGGTCATCGCCCGACTGATCCTTGTGCCGAATGCAAATCTCCAGCGTTGGAACAAAAGGTTCAAGCGAAACACGAAGGAGGGAAACTTACTTGATTCTTCGCCGAGGGCCCAGACCAGCATGAGCGGGTGGCCGATGGGCACTTGACCAACGACTTTTGCGCCGCTCGGGACTCTTCCCTGCACTATGGTGAAGTCGACTTTCGGCAACGAGGACGTCGCACCAAGCACTGCCTTTGGAACGATGTCACTGAAAAAAAGGATTGAGGGACTTCAAGATGTTAAGGAGCTCCCAGAAAACCATGTATAGACCACTGTAAAGAGCGCAGATTCTCTTGTAATTGCAAGCCTAATCTAACCTCACACTTCAATCATCGCTCAGCTCTGGTGACCTGACCTAAGAGGATAGCTGGCCGTCTCACGGGCAAATTTTGGGCGGTGTGGTGACGGTTTGTCAGGATTGACCTTTCACTCGCCGTGGTTTAGTATCACACCTGTAACTGCTTCTGCGTGGACCTCGGTTTTAATTAGCTGAGCGAGTGCTGACCCAACCGAAGACTCTATGAATTAGAGGATGATATTGGATATTCTTGTTTGACTTTTGTTAAACTCATGCGGTTTTTTTTCAATGTATTTTTTTCTCCTGTTTCTTTGTGTTGTTATGGTTTATTACGACCTCGCCCAGTTAATGGCGACACTATGTGCAAGATAAATATTGGTAATAAATTCATTCATACAGTAGCGGTTGAGGAAACAAAATATCAGAAAAAATGGATAAAAATGGGAGCTCAAAAATAATTAATTTTTAGCTAACAGCACTCGCAGTGCAAGCCGTTTTCCACGCAGAACAGCTACGAAAGGTGAAACTCCAGTTTGGGGGGGGGGCACTCCATTGTTTCTCCAATGCTCAAGATAAGGATGAGAGCACTCATGACACGTAATCGGCTCATTTAGAGTATACTTCTGATAAGTATCGCGATGTATGTGGTGAAGGAAGTCAAGATGTTCTTCACATTCGCCTGCCATGGTCCATGGAAAAGGTTCTGGACAAGGATAATGGACACCTCTGCTATTAGGTCTAGGGGGTGGAGGAGCTCCAGGGTGGATGACCTGGGTAGAAAAGTGGATAGATGTGGGCAGGATGTGTGGAACGGAGGGCATCCACCGAATCCTTATCAAAAGTACGCTTAAATTAATTCGTTTACTTATTACCTTATCATAGCGTTGGATAGCACAAATGAATGCTCTCTAGTACTACGGATATAGTTTAGCAATGGAGTGGCTCCCCCAACTGAAGTTTCAACTTACGAAATTAAGGTTCGCCCAACTTCCCGACAGGCAAATAATTGATGGAAGGAGTGTTCCAAAGACGAATTCAAAAGGAATAGAGCGACTTTGCAGTGGGATGTCAAGAAATGTTACTAATACATCTGTTAACTGAATTTTTTGTTAACTATGCTAAAAATTTGTATAAATTAAACTTTGGTTTGTTTCCGTGAATATAATAAAGATAGACTTGATAATCAATACTGCGCATGAGAGCGATATGTTGGAGCGAGGTCAGCACTCAGCACACCTAATTAAGCAAGGTCTACCCAGAGGCAGGTTACAGGGTGGTGCGAGATAACCACGGCGAGGAGGTGTGAAAGGTCAATCCTGACTAAGTTCCCTCTCCCATTTTGGGCGGAGGTAGGCAGCGCTGTCGTCTCGCACGTGATTCGAAAATTAAATTACGGCAAGAATTGTTCAAGTAACCCCATTATCATGGATGCTTAATCGGTGCCTCCAGATTCCAAAAAGAAAAACAAAACAGGTAGCCGGCGAATTATACATCGAATGGCTACCGCCCATCACTTTTAGCCTAGAAGAACGGTTCCGAATGTAAGCTGGATGTCTGAAGCATCAAGAAAGAGAGCCATCGAACCTGATGAAGTCGAATCGAGCCGATACGGTGATTTGTTCCTGTTGGAAGAGACAATGAACGGCGAAAGCTCGATCACCGGCCGTCACAAATGACGGATGGAAAGCGAAAACGAACACGGCGAACAGCTCGAGACCTCGCGTTGGCTGAAATTACCACAGAATTTTCCATCAAATTTGGACATGTGCATGTTACGGAGAGTTGGCAAAATTAGCAGCTCAGTGGGCGGTCTTCAATTTTTTGGCGGCTTTCGAAATTGCGAGGGAGGGCTATTCCTTCCCAAGAAGGCTATTCCCCTTGAATCCATTGCCCAAGTTGCATTTTTTCACCACTTCAGGGTAGGAATGATTTGAAACAGCCTATAATCAGTAGCCTAAATTAGCCTAGATTTGTCATCTCTGAATTGCCTTTCCGCAGCCTAACGGGAAGCTGTGAAGGTCTTGGGTCTGGACTGCGGGAAGTACTGCGTTCGCTAAACTGCCTAGGCTTCCTCGTCTTTATTCATCGGTTTTTGATCTGACAAAGAGAGTGAGTAACCCTGAGGTTTGCTCTCAGGCGAAAATACCAGGAGGATTACTAGGGCAACCCTAGGTTATTGCAGGTCAACCCTGAGACTGTAAGCGTAGTGTGTGGATGTGTCGGCACCTCACCATTCGCAGTGGATGGCATTCCCCGAGCGACTTAGCTGGTTTCGCTTTACAAACCGTTGAATGGTTACCGCTTTATTCGGTGATCAGAGCTGGGGCCCAACAACGGAGGCCTTTCGCTGCAAGCCGCGCTTTTCCAAGACGGTTTTTTGCATGCTGTAGGTGGTTCCCACGTGGATTACAAATCTGTGTTCCAATTTCGCTGAATGGCTCCCTGATGGCCAAAGAGATTGAAAAAAAAAATGTTGAGAATAGGCGGTTTTTACACGCTTCTGGAAGTGACGTATCACCTTGCTACAGAAGACCAACTCCATATTAAAAAGGTGATCTGATGTATATGTGGTATTTGAAAAACAACGGTGAAATTCGCAAAAATTGAAGTATTTCCAGTGTTGGTGCTGCAGAAAGTGAAGAGGTTTCATTAGCATTGTCAGCATCTTACCATCCGCAGAGGTCTGGTGGTCGAGTGGATAGCGCAATGGACTGGAAGGAAGAGGCTTTGTGGGAGGCTTTGTAGTTCAACTCTGCTTGATGGTTTTTGCATTTTCGATTGTCACTTCCAAATGAGCGCAAAATCGCTTCGACGTCAAATTTAACGCCCATACTCTCAATCGGGCCATCGGCAGCCCCCGCCAATGGGTTACGTCAAACAAGTGGCGAGAATCGCTAGCGCAATGCGCGCGACCGCAAAAAATATAGTCATATCCACGATCAGCGCTTACGATTTACCCCTACAGGCAAATTTCGACGAAAGTCGAGATTTTGACCTAACTTCGAAAAAGGAGGTGACCATGGCCGGGGTCGTCATGTACAGCGGCGGACGACTTCATGAAGAGCGCTGATGAAAATCAGGTGGAACACCTTCATGATACACGGATTCCAGGACTCGACTCCATATAGAGAACACATCTTCCACGCACGTCCTGTCCTGAAATCGCTCCCAAGCTATGTAGTAATGAGGCCTCACCGAAGGAGACGGAGGGACTCTAATATTATCACGGCTTGATAGGAGAGAAGATCTGTCGACTTCACCATGTCGGACTGTTGTCTAATCAGCCAGCTTTAGGTGTCGTCATTCTCCACTTCTGTACGTTGAAATATTCTTATTATTCAGGGGTTACGAGGTAACTCGATTTCCAATCGCCGGGCTCGGAGTACCCCATGGGCTACTGACCGACCTGTCGACGACCAATTTTTCGGAACTGGCTCAGAATCTCAATTTTTTCTCAAACTTTTGCGTTGAGGAATATCTTCTGCTCTGATCACGAATAGGGCATTTATTTTTCCAGCCGTCTCCAATTTACGCCAATTCGCCCTTCTGGCCATTACAACTTTTTCGATATATTCCAGTTACTGAGTTTTGTAATTACGGATAGCCTCTGCTAAGCATTTCGATATCTTACGTTTTGCGCTGGTGCATATTTTTGCCGAAAATTTGGAAGCTTCAACTAAACTGCAAAAGTCTTTTGTCCTTAGGGGGATGGTCCTCGGGCGATCCTCATCCATTTTTGGCCTTCTCGGGCCCGTTCAGCGAAAACGGACCTTGGTTCTGTAGTCCACGCATGAGTTCCTATAATAATGCAGAAAAACCGTTTTGAAAAAGCGCGCTTGCCCTGAACGACCTCCCTTGTTAGGAGTTGTGCTTGTGGCGCAAAGCTAAGCCGGAAATAAAAGACTAGCCTGGGTGCATTTCTCCAACGGGCGAGGCTGCCTTGCTTGATTTGTCGACTACGGGAACAAATGTGGCTCCATATTCAGCCTAATGTGTTACAGAGCATTTTTGATGGGATCAGTACTGGAAAGTCGAAGGGAAGGTAATCTGATACATAACGTTAACTTAATATCATCATACAGGGGGGGGGGCTATGCCTTTGAAACGAACGCCGCTGAACACCAGAATTTCGATTTCCCTGGGATTATTTGATGCCGGTGCACCTCAGAGCACCTTTTGGGCGGTCACTGAAGCGCAAAGTGGGCCTATGTGCCGCCCTACTCTGTGCTACTCTGAATGAGGCGAGTGGGCCATATCGAGGCGGTGAGACATTCCTTAATTCGAAATGTGCCGGGAACCTCCACGGTTTTTCATGGTGGTGGTGATCGCATGCTCCTTCCGAGGAAATGTTTCACTCTTTCAATCAAACTTACGTTTCTTCGTATGTCAATGCCACAAGACGATAGCCGAGTTAACGGCAGCGAGAATTCGGGCGATGTCGAATTCTCCTCGGCTGAGTAGACGACGAAACAGTCTGCGGAACGCCGCTGATTTTTGATGAATATCTGAAAATAACATGGATTCCTACATGCCTGGCCCTTTGCTTGCGGGCGCTCAGAACAGATAGGGTTAGGCGTCAACGTCTTCTTTCAAGGCTACTTTGAGGGATCAGCGTCTAGTTTCAGTTGATTGGAAGTTGGTGTAAAAGGTGGGCCAAACCTGTGTTGTTGAATTGGTAGCTTATTATATTTTCTAACCAGAGACGGATGAATTTCCCGTGACTAGGCCAGAGCCATCGAATATGGCAGGATATGTGCCAATCTTAGATGGCGCTAGGGCATTGATTACCAGCGGCCGCATGCCACTAATATTCGCGATTACAAACAATCACGCTGCCTTCTAGTGCTCAATGCGTCCCATGCTACCTCCCGTTCTCTCACCGCGTACCCAGGAACATTTTGCAGTGATAGACTACGTGAAAAAAGAAGGTCGCTCTTGTTAAAGTTCTTGACGCCTTCATACAATTCCCTCACCTTCACATATTAAGTTTCACTTTCGACTATAGTATCCACACCTACTAATTGGTCAGCATAGATGTGCTTTTGATGCCTCTGGAAATTCTCTCAAACAAGCTGTAGCTAGAGTTGTGAATGTGAAAGGTACGAATGGCAAAAACCTGTGCCTTTCAACCCGAACAAGCTATAAGGACTGGAGTGAGAACTGCAACCAACCGATGCCTTAAGAAATGACTGGGTTTTCTTCAAATTGACCCCACATTTTACCCATAGCTTCAGGTGTTTAGCTTCCCGATAGCGTAACATCGACGATTCTTTTCAGTTACAAACAAATATGGAACAGTGGTTATGTTGATGGTCACATCCACATTGATTACAGACAGCCGGAGTTAGAGGGCTACCTTGATTTGCTTGGGTCCAGTACATCCCTCTACGGCGCAGACCCATTCATTTTCTCTCAACTCAGATCTTGAATTTTGACACCAACAAAACAGGAGAAGCCTTTCCTCCCTCCCCTCCCCTTTTTGTCCCATTAGATAAGTCCACGTTCGCCCCTCTCCTTTGTGCTATTTCTTTGCCACCGCGACTGCCCGCTCCATGTGCCTCAAAAGGCCAGGGTAGTGCACTTGCGGAGCGATAAAGACGATAGAGCGTCTATGGTTTGCATCCGTGCACATTCCCAAAGCAGCCCTCATCGTCTAATGGCGAATATCTTGCGCCTCGCTCGTTCTCTGCTAACTCGCCTTTTCGCTCAGTGCTCTTTAGCGGTCTGTCTGCTCAAAGTGGCACCTTACTCTTTTGTTGTCTTATTCGCTTTAGTTCCTTTTTCGTCCGTCTCCCATCTTTATTTTCATTTTCGAGCCCATTTAGCACAGCTATCACGGAAGGGGCTTCACATGGAGTAAGTGAGAGATCGCTGAATGAAAGGCAATCACCAAATCGAACTCACTTGACCCTCAAAGACATCCTCACTTTCGCCTTTGACTTCGAATAGCATCTGGACCGCACGTCACAACGGGTGCGTCTAAAAACTTATAGGATTAGTTATCGACAGTTGCGATTAAGGAACTGTTAGTTAAGATTTTTGCGCACCTTGGGCTGGGGGTCACACATTGGGTCCGAATAAAGAGTAAGCAAGAACCGAAGGAATTGAAGGCGGGGTGGGGGTGCAGTCCTAATTGGTGGCTGCTAATTTCAAGTATTGGCTGGCTTTGGCATCCCCAACATACTAAAAACAACGTGTGTTTGTAATATCACAATGTAAGCAAACCAACTAAGAGCATGTGTGATTTAATAATTTATGCTGCCTGCCGCACCAAAGGGAAACTTTCCCAGAGGTTATTATACGGAGGGACATTCCAAGGCTCTCAACGAAACCTTGTGGACTGGAGAATAAACTTTCAAAGCCAGTTGACTACAAAAGTCATGATCGAGGGAGACCTCCAACGAGAAAAAACGTCTGCCTTCGAAAGAATCTTGTAAAGCAGAAGGAAATTTTATTCAGAGCCACATTGCTCCGTCCAGAGTGGGTCGTGATGGCCCAGGGTTGTCCATTTCGACCACATCGATGATTTTTGCCAAACAATCTATTCTCGAGTAAGGTAAATAATCTCAGGCCATAAGAACACAGAAAAAGAGGAGGACTCACCAGTCAGTCTGTTGTCCAGAGTTTTTGCTTCCACGAATCCTGCCTGAAATTAATTTTATAGAAAAACAGCTGTGTCCACAGAGGATCAAAATTTTGGTTTCACCCGAAAACCTCGGAAGGCTTCCCTCAGAGAAACGTCATTTCTTCAAGGACCGGGGGCGCGCGTGCATGGAGGAGTCAATTTTAGTTTTTGTCGGATTGCCGGCGTTCTCGTGGAGGTCGTTCTTTCGTGAGGAGCAACCGCGTTCGTGTAATCATCATAGTCACATTGGATTGTGCCGAGGATTTGACGATGAAGACCCACCTCCAAATCGACCATTTCTTGTGGGAGCAGAACATTGTGAGCTTTTTGAAGGGTATCTTCCAAATAGGTCAGTTTCCCCTCGTCCTAAGTGACCAGGTGGCTTTAAAGCAGTTTAGTGTTCATTGAACATTTTTGGCAAAGGGAAAAGTACAAATGAAAAATCAAGCAACCCTAAATAAACATTTTTGGGGTCTATGAGTAATTGCCTATTGAATAGGTCTCGACAATTATCCAATGGTGTCGCGCGCGACCTACCCCACAGGGTTTAAATGACCCTGACCGAGAGAATCGCAACGCATCCTTTTGTCGAGCATCAGGAAACGCCGTTGCGTTGTGCTTGAGGTGTGAGGTCTGGGGAAGAAAGAAGAAATATAATTTGCGGGTGTGGCGCATACACCACACCCGCAAAGGGTGTTGAAGCGGGAGAATCGTTGTGGTAGTACGGTAATGAGTATAGACGATGGTTGAAGGGGGAGAGAGGAGAAAAGTGACACACCAGGCCACTTGTATTCCCTTGGCTACCTTTCAACTTACAAATAACACTGTAACCGAGAGTTGAAAGCACTATCAAAGCTGTTGAGTGCTGAGTGGTAAATAGAAACGTTTGTTAATTGGCTTAAATCCACTTGGCAGTCCCGTGAAGATGCCAATTGTATGCATTTTACATAGGTATAAATATCCTTTTCGTGCTACAAGTCTGCACCACTTGATCTCATTGACTGCGTGGGGATGCACCGCCAGCGGTATCAAAAAGTCCCTTGCACCGCGGGAGGCCACGCCCAGGACGGCTATTAACGTGATTGCTAGCGAAATTTGCTCAAAAAATTCTACTTGCACCTATCTACCTTGCATTTCTAGGTTTGCTATATGGTCCATTTGAGTAAGGATTATATCACAGTCTGATTTCTCTATTGATCCGCCAGGTCCCTGACAGGAAAGCAACCGGGGGCTGCTCTAACCTGACAGAAGCACGGGGTTCATCTAGTTACTAGGTAGAGTAACTGATCGTGGATACGATAAGGACATGCTCGACGTGCACTGTGGATATGGGGCCTGTGCCAAGGTTACGAGGGCCGACCTCCCTCCAGCCTCCTCTTCCGACTACCACCTTCCCTCAAACCGAGACGGCACGACCCGTCCGTCCCGTCTTCTCCTTCACTCCGAGAATTGTCTTAAGTGGTTACCCGCGAGATCGTCAGTGCAAGGCCATGGCACCACTAAGTGACTAAGGGCACTCGGCACCGTGACAAAACAGCTTCATTTGCTACTCTGAAGCGAGAGGTTTTATTTGTTTTATTTTATGTCATACGAGCAGAGTCAAAAGGCTCCTTGAGCTCTCATCATTGTTAAGAGCTTCAAAAAACCCAGGAGTTTGAGCTAACTACTGACCTAGATTGAAGGTCTTCCAGTTCATCTATTAGAATTGTCTCTGCAACACTGGACCTACTGGCAGGGTCTAAAATCATCACAGGTCGTGGAAAAATCGAGTTCTCGATAAGGAGGAATAGACAAAACAGCAAAATCCACCAATTGTTAAGGAAGTCCAAGCGATCAGGAAGTGGAGCGGAAGATGAGGTCAGGACGATGCACTGGGTGGTACAGAACGATCGACTTTCCAAAAAGCTCCAAAAAGGGGCCCGTTCCGCGCCCTCCGTGCCCTTACCAGAATGGTCGCTTTTGCCCTCACCCGGTCCGTCTCCTGCAGACATATTTCTAGGTATCATAGTGGTTGGCAGCGTTTCAGAGTGAGCCAAAAATGGGGTCGCGTAGCTATAATTATGTGGGTAGGCGAGTTTTGATGGAGTGGGTCACCTGAGTAATTGCAGACCGCAGTTTATTCTCCTCAGAAGGTATTCTGACGAAGGAATGACGTTAGTGAGCTTCATGGCAAAAAAAGCTGAGGAACGACGCATTTTGGGTGCCGGCGCCGATAGCGCTTGGAGCGATGAGGCGAGAATTTATGGATGGCGGAATGAGGCGACGTAATGACAGGATTGAGGCGCCATTCCTCCGAAATTGGCCGTCGTTTTTTCAAGGAACGAGATCAGAACTTTACGAGGACATTAATCCAAAGGGCACAGGATTTGCTCCAATAGCGCCAGAGGAAGTCAAGTTGTGACTGTGACTTTTTCCGAGAAAAGTGGCGGAAATGGCGCTGGACCAGAGTAAGACAGACACACGGTACTCAGAAGTGCTAATACAAGACGTAACGCCAGAGAGGTAGAAAAATAAAAGAATATAAATCATTCACAACAAGAAACAAACATTTCATCGGAAAAGGCCAAAAGCTGCACTCCCCTATAAATGTAAGTACAGCCCGCAAGTAGTGGGCTAAACTTTTCCTTAGAGCGTTAAACAACAACAGGGCAGAGTTGAGTGCCGAAAAGCGGGTCAGTGCAGACGGGAAATAGAGGAATTTAAAAATATACCGCACTAACCTTCACGAAGACCAGAACTAGTGGCCACAGCATCGCGAAAGTGCACGCGCGTGTGAGTTGCAACCACAAGAACGCAATCTCACCGTGTCGATCGTAAATAAGTGGGCGGGGCCGGGGGAAGGTCACTCGGTGGATAAGTGGATTTGTTTGGCAGCAGGAAATGAGGACAGGTCCCTACTAGGTAGCACAATTGTCGTTCAGCTGGGTGAGCAGTTCCCCTTCAGATACTCAAAAGTTCTGAAGGGAGAGTGGTAATGGGGTGCACTGTTCTCAATTCCAGCATCTTTGTGGATCACATTCCTGCAGAGGCCTTCAATCAAGAATTCCTTCCGGGGTCACTCGATTAGCACCAGTTCTAAACCTCCCTCTGAATGCGGTCCTCTGAATACCAGAAAAGGGGGTCCCTGGTTGGAGTTCCTCTGTGGTGACAAACTTTTTGCATTTCGAGTTGCACACGTTTCCAAAATTCCGCGCAAAATGGAGTTATAGCATGAATAATTAGTGCCATATTCATGATTAGGGCCGCGCGCCATGACCGGCGTTAACGTCGGAATGCAAAACAGTTTTCACATAAGCACGAGGAGTTGAACCAGGGACCCCCTTTTTTGGTACTCAGAGGGCCGTTTAGGAAAAATTGGCCATGGTTCTGTGGTTTCCGCATGTGTCCCTATGCCATACAAAAACCATTTTGAAAAAGCAATTGAAAGACCTTCCCGGTAAGTCCTTCAGGAATCGCGATGTTGGCTCAGATTGATTGACTCACCTGTATGTATCATTGAAAACTCCTATTTGATCTCATTGTATGGCCGGAAACGCATCCCATCGCCTTGGAGATTCTCAGTAAAAGCTGACAATAGGTCCTATCCCGAAGGGGTCGCTTTACTCTGCCAATCCATTTTTCACTGGCAGGTTTCTGGAAGTTTCTGAAGGTTTCTAAAAGTCAGCGTTGGACATGGCGACCCATGCGCTCTTTGGTGCAAATCTGCTAGCAAAATTACAAAAACCAGTAAACCAATAAACCTCAGAGCACTGTCGGGCAGTTGCATGAAGAGCCGCCTTTTCATTGCGATCAGATCCCCGTGAGAAATCGAAGTGATTGACAGGTCATAAAGGAAGAAAAGTGGCGCTGTTATCCCGATACCTCCCAATTGCCACAACAGCACCGTGCCAACTCTCTGAATTCCCTGGGTGGCCAGCTCTGGAAAAACTCATGCCAGAACTTTTTAGCCTGAGAATTGAAGAGAGAGGGAGGGTTGTATCCCAGAACACCAAGCAGATGACTCAATGCAAAAACTGGGGCTCCATCGCGAGATACGGGGGCCTCCTCCAGGACTAAGCCTAGAAAGGAACCGGAACTTCATGGGAAATGAAAATTACCCACTCCCTCTGAAGTCTGTTCACCTCCGCTTAAGGCTTAGTTTTTATTTCAACAAGGAGATGAGTCGCGTACTTTCAGATGCACTGCCACCACTATGTCCCGTACCTTCCGATAGCTCCAGAAATTCCTTTTTCGATCCTCCAATGACCAGTCACGTACTCGGAGGAAGTGAATAAATCAGTCCCGGAACCTCTAATTTGATTATTCGCCTTTCTCTCTATTGGTTCGGCCGTGATAAACTTTCTATCTCCGTAATGCGGTGGATCCAAATGAGTTTCCAGCGCTGCCAGGCGACGCGAAGTGCTTAATTTAGCGATATCCTACAGTTCAGCAGTAGCCGACTGGACTTGATTACGGTAGTTGCCAATCAGAAAACCTGCCATCGTTCGAGGTACTGTTAGTTTTTCCAGATTCTAAAAACAATACATGCCACCAAGAGGTCTGGCGTTGTGTAATCTATGGGTACGTCCAGACAAAAAGCTGGAACGCTTTCGGAACCAGAAAGGATGGACGAAGAGAATGAGCTTACAAGAAGTGCTATCTTCCCAACGTGGAGGCTCCAGTTTGCTCTTTTTGCAGAAGAACGTGTTGTAGACATCGGTGGACTAACGGTGGGTGGTTATCTTATGCGCTGCCGTACGGGTTCCCTGTCCATCAGGAAAATATTGTTTGATTAGTCGGGCTAACCGCCAGCTATCACAAAATGTGTGTTTGCTAACCGGAAACCATTTTGGACCTTTGGGTTCCGAAGCGGCTCTCCTTCTTCAACCATTTCATTCTGCTACATTGAAAGAGTAGCTGAACCAGCATTTGTGCGCGGATTGTGATTCATAAAGGAATGTGACAGGTTTTGAGGACAGGATGTTGCTGGCTCTGTCGCAGTCGAAGAGGGATGGGAGGGATGGAAGCTGAGCGAATTTTCACTCGATGTTTCGTTACTGTACCTCGCTTACTTACTGTACTTTGAGACATTATTTAGAAGTTGCTTTTAGGACATGCTAGACTTTGCGAATCAGCTAACTCGCTAGCGGCCTTATGTATTGGCTAGCGAGGGGTATCTGGCCAGCAAACCGAGGGGTACGAGCGATGTCCTAGCGAAGCATCGACTAAATTCGGTAGTGCATCTTTCGAACCCCTGGTGCATCACTCGTGCCCCTCAAATCAGGCCTTAGGGCAATGTTAGACTTTGCGGTCGCATCGCGGCCAGTGAATCGCTCTAATTGGCTGGTACCGCAACGCGACCGCGGACGCTAGCGAATCGCGCGATTCGCAAAGTCTGACATCGGGCTTAGTATGAGAAGGATGTCCGTAAGGAAGGTTAGCACAATGTGCGTGCCTGAGCTCCGCTGACCGATCTCTGGTCGCGCCCTCACGATGACCGGTAGAATAGCCCTCGGTGGCGCCGCTATAGCACACAGGGTCCAAGAACGGAGGTTCCTAGTCTCGGAGCTCACTCATCCCTTCAGGGTCAATTAAGTACTAGCAGATTTGTCTGGATAGCTGGAAGCACCAGTCCTTTTCACTGCAACATATGGCTCTTTCAATGGCTTCGCAACCCTTAAGATAGCATTTGATGGTCGTGATCGTGACTATTGCAATGTGCGCTTATGCGCGGTCTATTCATAGAAATTTTTTTATTCAGATATCAATTTTTATAGAATCAAGTCAATTAATTATATGGCAACAGGAAGTGTTAACCGGCACAACGATGGAGCGGGTTCAAAGGTAGCTGCAAAAATAGCGAATGTCGGCTAACTGAGATGGCAAGACTAGAAGATCAATGACCAATTCATAAAAAGGGACAAAGCACCGGAAAGTAAGGAGTTAGGAGAATATTCGTGACCACATCACCATGGCTGGCCGAAGTTGGCCTCTTTAGGATGGGTTTTTTAAGATGAGCCTATAGAATCAGCAAGCTTCAAACGAGTGAAGGCGATGGGAAACCGAAAAAAAACGGATCGGAGGAAAGGGACGACGAAATGCGAAGTGCACAGGGAAAGAGCAAGCAACGAGGAGTCACCGTGAGTGTCAATGTGAGTGTTGCTCAAGATTACTACTATATTGTAGAGGTTCCGTCACCACCGTTTCTTCATGCGATCCTGAGCCTGTTCGATGACGGTGCGCAATCCGTCGGCGTCCAACTCGTCCAGCAGAACAGACACTGCCGACATGATTTTTTCCGTACGGATGTCCTAAAACAAGCGCTTTAGGGCTGAAAGAGTTTTCCCCGCTCAGTTTTTCCACTGTTGCTCTTACAAGCATATAAAAAGCTTTTCTTAACCATCACCCTGTCTGGCTTTCCTAGAACAAGTTTCAAAGTACCTTTTCCGAGTTTTCTAGGAAAGCCTTACCCGAGCTGGGCTTTGTGATGACTCTTTCCGAAGATGAAGACGTCTTCGTGGGGCGCTGACACTTCGACTGTACGAACTGCTGTGAGGACGCTGCCGGGCTTCGTGCATCGACATGCACATTCGGCTGGCGATCGCGTCCATCGACACGGGCCGGCTGTCTTCTTCAAGGCTGAAGCATGTTTGCATACACAATCGCCTTGCTGCTTTTCAACGGCTCTTAGTTAGAATGGAGAGGATCAGATAGTGCGAGGAAAAGTGAGAAAGGCTTAGACACCAACCTGAAGTCGCCCCACTCCTCGTCTCGGTCCTCGGTCGCCGGCTCATAGATCGACTGGGTCATCAATGAGGGGTGCACTGATTGGCTCATGAGACTGAGCCTGGAGACTCGCAACGACTGCGGGTCTCGCGGCGGGGGAAGACGTTCCTCGTCCGACGCGTCGCCGTAGCTGACCATTTGCGGCTTGCATCACTGTGTCCACGATCGCTCGTCCTGAAAACAAAACTGATTGCTGCCTCTGCCATGACGGAAACATCGCTCACGCCTATAGCCTTATGAAACCTCAACTCACCATAGAGCGATTGGGTCATGGGATCGTGCAGGGTGACGCTGCTGCCCGCTCTCGAGCTCCGTGCGCTGGGCAGGCTGATCATGCTGGCGTGCATATCGCATTCGGGAGCTGAATCGTCCTGCTGCGCTTCCATGAGGTCGTCCAGAGTCACCGCTGAATCACTGATAATCAAAACCAAATTCAATGCTGATGTTGTGGTGAATTTCCTGCACTCTGGAAAATTCCTTGTTCCTGGGAAAATGAAAGCAATCGTTGTGACCATTTGATGCAAGAGATAAGACGCACTGGGACAACGGGTGGCTCGCGACTTGGTTGCCCTCGATTCCCACTTTTCTTCCACAGTTTATTCGATATGCCCATAACGAAGTGGTCGTCCTCAGTATGTTAATTTTTGCATATTTCAAGAAATGCGACGCGTTTAATAATCTTTAATATTGCATGACTCCACTACTGCTGCTGTATCTCCAGATATTTATTAGTGGACTCTGCCAGACCTCAAAGATATTTTACACAGGCGCCGGCCCTTCTCAAAGTTTCATATGGTGTACCTGATCAACTGAACTCAATCTGTGGCAAAAAGTATTATAACAGCGCTTACCGCTCACCTTGGACGTCCACCCAGTGGATGCTTCTACGCTCATGAGAGCTGTCCGTCCCTACCGGGAACTATTCCTATTCAGCTTCCTCAGAAGTCAAATTGTGAGGTGATTCTCCACATCAAATTACTGTTCCCACTTTTTGTGCTCGGACGCTATGACGCGAGAATTGGAGACGTTCTGGAGGGGCTCGTGACGATTTTCCTTTTTTCAAAATAGGCTTCTCTATGCGATGTGGTTGCGGGATTCCGAATCACTTTTTGAGGCTTCAAGTTGTTTTGAGCCGTTGGCGGCCTCCAATTTGCAGCAAAACTAATGCAGATCGTGATGTGATCTCCTTTTGTCCGCTTAAAGTCAGATGGGACGAAAAATTGAACGATTTTCTTACGATGTGGAGCGCACTATAGTGCATTCTATTTGATTTGACGCCAAATCACTGTAGTACGCGTACGCGCTGCGACTCGTCCGCTGACCTTTCTGCGCCTTTGCCTTCAGGCCGCGTGACGGCCCTCCTGTCGAATACCCGACAATGACGCTTTTGCTGCAAAGGAGGCCTCCGCAGCGAAGTAACAAGGCTTCATCTCTCCCTCTGAAACGCCTTTTTACCTCTGTCCGAATCGGATGGCTCCCTGCCCATCGGTGTCGAACTCTGGCCTTTTATCAGATAGGCAAAGCAGAGCCGCGTTCATTACATCAGCACGATGAGTCTCGCCCACTACGGAAGTCAAAGAGGCAAAAAGAGGGGTCTGGTTAGGAAGGTTTGGGGATTGCAGGCCGTCTCTATTAGTTTTATTAGTTTTTTTTCACTGCTTCTCTTTCTAACAGCTCTACTTCCGACCAGACGGCAGGTTATCGTGCCATATCTTCAAGAAGGTGGACGAAATTTTTTTATCATGAACGCCGAAGACTGGAGAGAGCGAGTCACACCGCGAAAGCCAAAATGAATAGAAAGACTCCCTGCTTGGCTAGGATCTCCTTCTCTAGTCAATGCATGTATTCCTCTTCCCAATTAATCTTTGTCGGCCTCTGCAACGACATCGCCTCTGCAACGACATCTTGTTTGGAAAACTTTCTTGGAGGAACTACTGCTAGAAATCGACCTTGCCGGTGCCTTTCTGGCATCAGAGTCGCCCTCTATGACCTAGGAAATGAGATCTAAACAAATTTATCCACCCGATGTTTGTGCTTCTGATGCAGATCCAGTGATCAAGTTCCAATTATCTAACTATTCACATAATGATAAGACGAGGAACTCACGCTTGTCGTCGAGTTTCGTCAGCTGAGGGAGTATTCGCAGCACGCGGTGGCGATAGTCGCCCGATCGGGTGCACGGGTTTTCGTCGATCCACAACACTCGAAGATTGCGTAGGTCCTGCGAAAGAACACGGATCAATCGGTTGTGATTTCCACCTGGGGCAGCAGAGAACTTTCTCGATAAACCCGTGCAATTACTAGATCTCAGCTCTTTCAGCCAATCATTTTAATTGAATGTGATTCTCTCAATTCTATGAAATCGGGCCTTTTGGGGGTTCCTTCTCAAATATCGAAGAAAAGCCGCGTTTTGGTAGGCTGGAACCCGATGTCTGTCCATACCGAACACTACCCCGTGAAAACACCTACCAGAATTCAATTCTGCGACCCTACAGCGAATCCTGGGAGGGTCATTCGAGCGAGCAAGGAACATCCTCAAAAGGTATGTACTACAGACTGCTTCGGGAAAGCGTTCAAGCGAGAGTACAGCATTCGCAATCGAGCGCACAAATGCCACCATTCATTTACCAGCTAATTTTCGCTGCTTCATGCACATTTTGATTCTTTTGCCAGATGAGCTTTTTAGGAATAATGCTGTGCGTTTGGCTTTTTGGACTCTCATCTTCTTCAGTTTTTGAAGTGGTCCAAGAGCACTCCAGAGAGGTCAGTAACGAGAACGATTGAATCACTAGAGACTCCGCTGAATGCGCGGAGCATCGGCTCACGCCCTCTGAAGGAATGGAAACGTCATTGAATTTGGCGAATCAACCTCGATATATACTCCCTTATGTCTGTCTAAAAACCACCGCATTACATCGCTGTTATATTGCTCTCATTCTGATACAACGTACAGAGAGACATTAGGTAGGCGACGCTCATTTCGCTCACGTTATCTTGCAAAAGTCCAGAATGTTTCTCGGAAGCACTCCTTGATGAAATCTGCGTCTCACGCGCTCAGGCGATTGGTTGAGTCAACTGGGAATCGTAAGCCTCAAGTCATATTTAGACTTTTGAAGAAGACGGGAAGTGCGAATGTAAGACGCATGAATTCAATTTACCATATCATTATTTGGTCAAAAATACAAGGCACATCGGTACCCAGACATAACTCGAAACTGTCTCCTAAGGAACTGCACTCCTCGGTGCCGTCCATGCCGTCTGAGTGCTGTCCATTTAGCTAAATGCGTTCCCTAACTGCAGACTAAGGAGGATACCCGGTCGAAGTGCATTTTTAACGTGACTTCACTACACTCAGTATTTTTGAACGGACCAGAATATTTGCCCCTCCTCAAATATGCAAGCGCTTTCTGAACGTAGTTATGAAACGAGATGGTGCAGTGGCAGCGGCCCGGGCCAACGGGAAAGACGTCGTGGGATCGAATTTTCGGCGAGTTTTGACTTTTGCTTTTCCTGAGGACATTGTTAAGGAAATCCTCATCTATGCTAAGTCATCAGCACTCGCTTACCACCAACAAGTGTGCAGGAGTAGGAAGAGTCTATTCCATCAGGCATTCGCCAAATGCCAACGACGACTCGCGCCATATTTCGAAGTGGATTTGGACAAGTTAGGGGGAGCGAGCAAGATATTTGCGCCGTGAACGCGAAGTCACTTTGTTTGGAAAGAAAAGAGCCTGACGCGTTCGTTACGAGTACCGGGGGTGGTTTGACAAGTGCCGCGCACAGTGTTAGATGCTCATCGCTAGCTATTCCCACTTGTAATATAGGCGATCGCTGTTAACTCAGCATGATAAGAGCATCCTCAGCAATGTCGCAAGGAAAGCAAAAGTCAGAAACCCGCCGGGAAGGCGACCTCACGACCTCCTACTCGTCGGCTCGTGCCGCTGCCACTGCACTATCTCGCTTCATAACTACGTTCAGAGAATCGTTTCGCCAACTGGAGGCGAAATTCGAGATAGCGCGAAGAAACCATTAGTGGTGTATGCTTGTCAACAATGCCACGTCAGACGCCTGGTATCCCTCCTTGTGAGAGTTGCAATGAGAAAGTAGGTTAATCTGAGAGCATAACCTCAACAAAATTGCTGAACCGTGCGGTTCCCAGCTTGCTTTGCCAGTCTAGTGAGGTAATTTCTTTGTGAAAACACCCTATTATAAAAGACATCGATTTGGTTGGCTCTCAGAATAGTTTTCAGCACCAGTTGTGGTACTGCACAAAGTGAGGGCCACATCTGTCCGGTCAGCGCCATGGAAGATGCGCGTCGAGTGTGAGGAGAACGCAAAAACCCGGCCTTCCTGGGGCTGTTTGGTTATCATATCAAATGATTCCATTACAACCTATGAATAAGTTCCGAGGTGTCGGGAGCTGTACTTGCGGCGGTCACTAGTTGAGTGGCAAGGACCTTGCCATGGCGTTAGTGATGGCCTCACCCTTCGTTCTCATGACACCTGGCTTTGGACAGGATCTCAGTTGACAATTTTTTGGTCAAATATAGCACAGCTTGCTGCTGAGTGCTCATGTTATTCGATTCGCTCGAAAGTTGATAAGAGGAGCAACGTTCCATACCTTGCCTTGGACAGGTTGAGGGTAATGTAAGAGCCAAAAGATTCTTACGAGTACCTCATTCAGTGAAATGCCATGAAATTTGGAAACCGCAATAAACTTCGAATTCACTCAGGGCTACGTACCTTCAAATACTCGAGCTCGGTCAGGCTTTCGATATTGTTCTTCCTTAAATATAATTCCACTAATCGGGTACAGTTGCGTAGAGGCTGCAGCGTTTCGACGCGGTTAACGCTGAAATCCGAAGAATTATTAGGATGACATTGAGAAATACGCAAGCAGACCCCACCTCAATGAAAGCACTTCAATGTTAACCATCCGTTCACAAATGGATATATCGTCGATGTCGCAGCCCCTGAAAATGCTGATTGCAGATGAGTCACAGCATCTTGGGGTCGTTATTCATGGTGGATTTTTGCCTTTTTGAATAAGAATATCGCCTTGTTTCCCTTTAGGGAATTGAGTTTCCCGCAAGAACAACCTCGGCGAGGCTTTCCCGCATTCAGAACCCAAAAGCACGTTTGGAAAGCTCTCTTGGAAGCCCTGAACGAAGGTGAGGTATGTAAAGGTCTCGTTCCGACCAAGGAACAATTTTGCCTTTCACTACTCTGAGCGGCTTAGTAGGATGTTGCCTGGAAGTCTGCTCATTAGCAAGGGGGTTCAATTCTGCTCTTTCCGCTTGCAGTTAAGCCCTTTGATCCTTTCAAAGGCTGTAAGTAAACAACAATGTGTAGCTGCAAAGCTGTAGTGGTATGCAAACGTGGATAACTACAGTTTTTCCGGGAATTGTTGAACAAAGAGAGCAGGACGAAGCAGGCATAAGTGAGGCGTTGTAGGAAGTTCTGGAATACGACCTCCTCCCATGTCGCCCGTTATACGCCAGAGCAGAAGCTAAACTAGGAGGTCATTTTCTAACAGCTGCAACTTTCTTGAAAAGAAAGAATTGTCAATTGGAAAAAAAACTTGACAGGTCCTCGGCTCGCACTCTCTGACAGTTGTTAACTTCATGAAGTAAAATGGTAAATGAATGCCACGGTAGAACTGACAGTAAAATTTTCGAGATCTGCGAGTTTTTACGCTCTCAAAAGCCATAACTTGCCCCAATA